GCCGTGCAAAACGGTGGGTCGTTCATTCTGGGTCATCTCTGACTGACTCGTCTAGGTTTTGAGAGGAGGCCGCCCTTCCATAGCCGTAGCAACGTGGCTGAAGTCGGAGTTCCTGGTTGACGCGTCGTCTTCGGAATCTGAAACTCAAACGGCGGTCTCGCCGATGTCCTCGTACCAATCCTACAAATTCATGAGCAAACCGCAAGCAAGAGAGCATTCAAGCGCGTGCTTACTTCTGGCTTCTCTCGTATGTACCGTCCCATGAGCTCCGTGCACCTCTCGTCTTCGAGTACGACAACCTCAACACCACGGCTTCGCAGCAAATCCTCCTCCTTAGAGAAGTTGACGTTCTCGCCAATCACGACGCGGGGAATCTTGTACAGCAGAATCGCTCCCGTACACATGCTGCACGGGCTACGATCGAAGAGGTCAGTCCACATGTCGAATACAGACCGACGCCGCTAAGACATGCCTCAACGTCGTATACTGCGCAAACAGAAGATTAGCCTGAGTCTTCGATGCCCGAGTGAGGGTGAGAGGGCCAGGACGAAGACGAACTTGAAGACTCACCATCGTCGAGTTGCGATACACGTCTGACTTCAGCCTCCCAGCATTCTCGAGCGCGGCCATCTCCCCGTGGAGGATCGGAGACGACTTCTGTATACGCTGGTTGTGACCCTGGCCGACAACACGCGGCTCCTCACCACCCGGGCCATGGTACACAAGAGCAGCACCGATGGGTACCCCGCCCTCACCGTAGCTCTTCCTCGCGTTCTCGAAGGCGACATCCATGCCCAACTTGTCGGCGGCCACGATCGCAGAAGCCGATGTCATGAGAGACATTTCGGTCACTGCGGGATGAAATCTAGAGGAGTAAGTCCAATGGGCAATGGTCGTACTGATAAGGTTGCAGAACGGGTTACTTTACTTACCTTATCTTCCCGAACGAACGATATACTCACGCTCGTCACTGCAGGCCGTGCAGTTCCTGGTGAAACGCGATTTTGATTCAACGCTCGGCAGCGGTGTCACTCACTACACACGCGCAATAGGTAAGTAACGCAACTCAAACTCGGGCCGCAAGCGAACACGAATGAGGCGAAAAGGGGGTCAGAAAAAGGATGGTGCGGGTGATCATTGGGGGACAAATGATCAAACTGGTAATACAGAAAATAGCTGCCCTCAGCCAATAATGATAGGGTATTATAGCGAACTAAAAGGTGCGAATCCCAAACCCGAAGAGTCGATCGAAAGGAAAAAGAACGGAAGCCACGGTCGCTTTACACAATCCTGTAGCAAAGCGAGAGTCAGCAAAGGAACAGGAGCAACGAGAACGGCACGACGGGATGATGCTCACTTCGCAGCAGGGACAGCCTCCTCCACGACGGACGCGGCCTTGCCAAGGAGGCCTGACGGGCACCCCACTGAGGCGCGCTTCGCCATCAGAGCAGCACGCGCCGCACGACCGGTGTACGCCCGGCGCGCGGGGTTGCTCCCGAAGCACTTCTTGAACAGGTCGAAGGTCTTGTTGAACAGGTCCACGCTCGTGTTCTTGTCAAACAGGCTGAGCAGCGACGCGTCCGCGCCCGCGGTGACCGCAAGCCCAGTCGTGACGTCCACACATCCGCCGAACGACGCATCGGTGGACTTGCTGCCGTCCTTCGAGATACCGGCCTCAGCGACCGCGGTGAGGGAGAGGTCAACCGCTGCGCTCGCGTCGACGTCGAGGTTGATCGTCGCCTTCGCAGCGCCGGAGAGGACGTCAATGCCGAATGCGAGCGAGGGGATAAGGTGCGCCGCGATCTGGCCGTGCGAGGTGATGTTGGGCGAGACGGAGAGCTTGAGGTTCGAGTCGTTTGGTGTGAACGACCCGGCGGGCTTATCGTTGGGCGGGAAGAAGAGCTGCGCGCCGGCGATGGTGTAGGCGAGGTCGACATCGACGTTGAGGTTCGCGTCGAGTGATGCGGTTGCTTCGGCGTTCACGGAGAAGGTGGGACCGATGCTCAGGATCTTGGGGAAGTCAAGGCCGGGGATACCGGTCTCGAACAGCGGGATCTTGCCAGAACTGATCGAACCCTTCGCGCGGCGATGTCAGTAACGATGGGTCTGGTTTGACTGATAGCAAACTCACAGTAAGGGTAGCGTCGAGACCAAGGGTACCGGTCACGGTCGCATCAAGTCCGACGAAGAGACCAAACTCGTCGAGCTTCGGGGGAATGATGGAACCGGCAGCGGCAACACCGTAGTTGACCGTGCCGTCAACCTTGCCCTTCAGATCGACCTTCGCCTCGCCATCGAAGGCAGGAACAGCGCCGTTCTGCGGGCACGAGAAGGACTGGTCGAACAACGGGACGTCCTTCTCAAAGTCGAGCGGGGCGCTGCCCGTGATGTTCTTGTGGACCTCGGACAGGTTCTTCAGCGTGCTCCCAATCCAGCTGAACAAGCCGCGCTTCGCGACTGCGCCATCCGTCGGAGGTGTCACGGTGAAGTTGCCGGCGACGCCCGGGATCGACGATCCCTGGACGAAGAGCGTGACGTTTCCGTTGACGTTGGGATCGACAGCTGCGAAGTCGGTCGCGAGACTGATACCCTTGACCGTGGGCTGCGAGCCGTCGCGGCGGACGAGGAGGGAGCGCTTGCTCGCGGGGATGCTCTGGTCCTCGTGGACCCATTCGCGCGTGACGACGGCGAACGGCATCGAGCCGCAGGACGTCGGGAGACGGACAAGTGTGCCCTCCGCTCCGTTTTGGTTGAGGTGGTCGCAGCCCATGGCGGGGTCATGGCAGACAAGACGAATGTCCTGGTCGGCAGTGTTCGGGTCACAGTCGAGGATGGTCCAGCCCGCGGCGGTCGTCAGGTCGGAGACACCGGTCTGCGAGCCCACCTGTGTTTCGCAGGTGACAGTCACGGGAACGCGTTTCATGAGCGCGCGGTCGAGCAGTGTGGAGGAATGCGGTACTCACAAGGCGAACTGTGCCAGACCCACTGCCATTCGTGATGTCCCAGTTACACTCGCCGAAGCAAGGTTGTGACCAGTCGTTGGCTGCTTGGGCAGCGATAGGAAGGAGCGCAGCTATGAGTAATGGGCTGAAGACCATGGCGAAATCGAGACTCGAGGGTACGACGAGAACTTGAGTCGTAGGAAAGGGATAGGCAGCTCTAGAGGCTATAAAAAAGGAGAGGGCAGCAGAAGAACGAAGTGGGAATCACCAGGACCCGTAAAGATTCCATCGCTGTCAGAGAAGCTGTTATATACTACGTTGCGGCGATACCGGGCGTCTCCACGCACCTGCAGATCAACAGCCGTTGCAGATGATGTGCGGGCGCTGGCAGTGGCAGATCATGCCGGTAGCATGTTTCTTGGCGCAACGCGGAGACCAGACCGGGGACGGCGGATGGTCGGGAACCTTGGTGAACGAATTGCAAGTGTTGATCTCCACCGAGCTGTACGGTAGCTGTACGGTGAGCGACCCGAGACCGCCATCAAAGATGTCTGTACTCGAGACCGGGACCGCATGCTTCCGTCTACCATATGGATTGCCGTGCTTGCAGCTTTCACGAGTCGTCAACCGGTGGCGACCAAGTCGGACGACTCATGAGCAGTAGTCAGTACTAAGCAGGGTGTGCACAGTGCACTTATTCGTTGCAAACGAAAGACAGCCTTTAGCATTTCGTTCAGGTACCGCCGGCGGCAGACTGGCGGTTTCGAAGGCATGACGACGACAATATCAATGACAGGAGTCAGTGCGGGCGTCGTCAACGCTCGTGATGGCTAAGCTTGCACAGCCCGCAGGAACGAACGTCCCGAGCAGTGACTCTAAATGAGCTCTCAGCTTTGAGCTTGAGCTCGAATGCACCTCGGCCTGCGACCCAGAGAATCTCAGAGATGATTCTTGGACCAGTTCAACTAACGCAAGGCGGCTTGCGTATAACTAGTCCGTCTACTTCAGCGAACTGCGACAACGCCGCTCCAGCCCGTCGCTCAGGCCAAGGAGCACTCTCCCAGGACGACATCCAGCCGTATGCAGAATAATCCTGACCATGCTGGCGTCGCGCTTGGTCTTGCAATTCGAATTCGGCAATTGTCCCACTTCTCGATGAGAAACGCGGGCGCGAACACCGCCTGCGGTGTTGGGTGGACAGCTCCGCCAACTCACATCTTGAGCGCAATGCAAGGATAGACGGGCAAGTGGCCTAAAGCCATCTTCAGGCCCGCCCTCATCCGAAATCCGAAGATTGCATCGACGATGGACTCGGAGAGAGATGCGTACCGTCTCATACCAGACAATTTGCTTGACATTTCACTATGCCGAGGTCATCACTGTCTCCGAGTTGTCGTCACTGGTCAGCAGTCAGTAAGATGGTAACACCATTTTGCCATGCACCTTGTAACACCCGAAACCTCCAGACACGATTCACTGTATGCGCCACCTGCTATGTCGTGCGCTTGAGAGTGACTCCGCCGCCCAAGAAGTATCTTTGATATTGTCGTCCGGTTGACAGAGATACGTGTGCCATTGGTCGCTGGAGATGCGACCGTGGGTGCAGCCTCGCGATCATCGTGGTACGTACCGTGTACCTGTGAGGTGGACATCAATAAGTATACCGAGACAAGTTCAGACGTACATTGTCGGACTCACCTGCGCTGCATGATACACTCACCTGCGAGAGTCATACTAGGGTATCTTCGGCGGGTCGACCAGTGGTGCTTACTACTGACTGCCACATCATGATCATCGAAGGCTTGACTCGAACAAAAATCCTTTGAAACTTCATGTCGTTGTCGAAGCCCGAGGGCATAGACGCGACCCACGACAGACAGCACAGGCAGGTCAGCGTAAGCTCGCAAGCCAAGTTCAGCAGCGGAAGTGTCAACGAGGTTGCAGCGAAGAGGTTAACCGTTGAGTTTAGATTCTAGCTGACTTACTTACTTACTTACTTACTCTGGATCCGAGGCACAGTGATATAGCATGCCTGGTGCCAGCGGACGGTGCACCACTACACTGATGGTGAAACGGTATCATGCTTGCCTTCCATTGAAGACAGCTTCTATGCCAGCAAGCGGCGTGGGTTCGACTCCCGCTCAGTGTACTTGGCTGTTGAATCCTCGTTTTTGTCTCATCTCAGTCCTTTCCGGATGGCCATGACAGCCATGAACGGAGTACTGGAGCGTGTCGGAGTTATCGTTACATAAGTATAGGGCGTCGTCTTCCATGCTCCACGATATTTGATCCGACTCCGCAGCACTTTGTGCGGGCGTCATGAGTGGTAACAATCATCCCGACCCGCTATATCCAGAGGAGCCCGAGTGTCCCTTGCATGTGCGCCTACAGGCAATGGTACGTGTCTCTGAACTTCTTATCCTACATACACTTCATATCCTACATGCAGAACTTCCTAGTAATTCGCGGATCGACACATATGAGCAATAGTCCAGCAGCCGCACCTATGCAGACTCAGAACTCACTTTGCCATTTGATACATCTGTCGCCAGCCCTCAAGCAAGGTAGCGGTTCTCCGGCCCACTGCCCTTCAGAATACCTTCTTCGATGGCCTTGATCTCTGTAGGCGTCCAACAGTCAGCATCGTCCGACAACACGACCAGCGCACGGACTCACGTAGCGCAAGATGCTTCGAGTGGAACCGGCACAACATCAGGTTCCCCATCATGAACCAGAAGTTGGGCACACCGCTGTCGCGCCACGCCGTGCGTATCTCGCCCTCCGCGTCGACGCCCCACATTGACTTCAGCCGGGTCGTCACGTCCTTTCCGAGAATCTTCTCGGCCGTGATCATCGGGCTGTCGAAGCTGCGTTGCGTACGGAATGCGTGAGCTCCGTCGTGGTGAGCGAGGAGGCAAGCAAAGAGGAGACGCACCCAGTCGCGAAGAGGATGACGTCCGCGTCGACGGTGCTGCCGTCCTCGAACTCCAAACCCGTCTTCGTGTACCGCTTGATCGGGCTGTCGTTCTTCAGCTTGATCTTCCCGTCGGCCACCATCTGCGACGCGCCGACGTCGAGGTAGTATCCGCCTCCCCTTCTCTTCGCCATCGCGAGGAAGCCGCATCCGCCGTCCCCGAGGTAGGTCCGGAAGCCGACCTTCTTCAGGCCCTCAAGTAGCTGCCTGTTCGCCTATCAAAAGGACGAACAGATGAATAAGGAGAAGTCAACGTACTTGTCGGCTTCTGCGATGTCTAAGGTGATGCGCTTGGAGATCTCTTCCGTGACGAAGGTTGGCAGCGAGGCGTCGACGCGATCCGCGACATCTACTGGCCACTTGCCTTCCCACCACACCTCTGTATTATGCCGCAAAGACCCGTCAGGAGCTAGGTCAGATGAGACTTATAAGAGACGTACGTCCGATCATGCGGGGCATGCCCTCCTTCGTGGTCATGATGTATGTCTTGTCGCGCTGGTACATCGTCACATCTGTAGAGACGCTGTAAATCACGCAAGTTATCAGCAGGGACTGGAATACATACCGACGCCATGCTCGACGTAGTCAGCGGCCACATCGTGCGCTAGAAAGACACAAGTATGAGCCTCTCCATAGTCACTTCTGTTTAACGAAGAACCCACCGGACGTGGCAGACCCGACGATCAACACCTTCTTCCCCAGGTGATCCTTCGCCGAGCCATGCTGCGTCGAATGCAGCACCTGGCCCTGATACTCCTCCTTTCCCGGGATGTTCGGGAAGTATGGGTTGTTGCCCCCAAGTCCAATCGCGAACACGAGGTGTTTGACGTGCAACACACGCGTGGAGCCGTCGCCGCGCTCGACAGTGACATCCCACTCGTTGTTCGCATCCTGCACCGCCTTCACCACGGTCGATTTCGTCCAGACGTTCAGCTCGAGCGCTTCAGCGTAGTACTCCAGCCAGCCTGCGAGCTTCTGCGCGGGAGTATACACGGGCCAACTCGGTGGGAAGCTGACCGCGCGCGTTAGCGTTGGATATCACAGGCAAAGCGCAGGTACTCACGGAAGATAAGGCATATGGTCGTACCCTGGCAAAGAGGATACGCTTAGTGACTGTGACTCTCGACGTCGGAGTGCGCGTACTCACAGACTGGATCGTGCAGACACAAGGCCTGGTAACGATGCCTCCACTGGTCGCCTATCCGCTCGTTCTTCTCCACGACTAGTGTCGGGACGTCCAAGTGCTTCAGGCGCGCCGCGACATCAAGGCCGCTCTGCCCACCGCCCACGATAAGGACAGTCGGATCCCCGTCCACGAACTCCTTCTCGCGTTCGCGCTGCGCGAGCCACTTGCCATGGTTCGGGAGATGGTTCCTCAGTGACCCGATCTTCTCCGGGAAGTCCTTCAGCTCCTCAAGATTCGTGTAGAACGTGAAGCCCGTCCACTGCCCGTCGGCGGTGGGGATGAGGCGGAAGATCCCGCTGCATGCGCCGATCTCGGTCTCGAACGTGAACCGGCCGAGGATCCACGCGAGGTCCGGGTATGGGCTCTCGAATGTCGCGTCCGTGAACTTGAACGCGCTCAGCGTGTGCGCAGACAGCGTGTCCTCGAGAAACTTGCGTATCTTCGACGCGCCTTGGAAGGTACGGAACGCCCAGGTCAGCGCGAGCATGTCGCGGAACCATGCGTCAGGATGGAACAGAGAGAGGATGCCATCGATGTTCTTGTCCTCTATGTTCTTGACGAGCGAGTCGAACCAGAGAGACGCGACCTTCTTCGCGTCAACATCCTTGGGCACAGCAGACACTCCGAGGCGGTCGAGGGTCGGCAGATTCACAGTCGGGGTGTCTACGGCAGCCATGGGGGATGTGTGCAGAGAGGGTGCCTCCTTGCCAAACCTTGCCTGAACCATTATATCCCGCGCGCGAGAATAGGAGTCCCGACGGTCAACTGACGAGTCTCCGTCACACGGCCCTAGTCGCCCCGGCCACGTGGGCGCGGTTTACCGGAGTCGTAACGTCGTCATCCTCTCTGACCTCGACGCAAGGTTCGCCGCCCTGGCTCTCGAGATATCGATAAGCCGTGTGTGTAGAAGTGTCTAAGGAGAGCAAGGAAGGTACGCAAGTACGTTTGATATCAACTCGCGAGGGACTTACAGTAGGATCAGAACTGAAAGTGAGTCGGGCTTGGCTTGAGTTTGTTCCGCAAGAGAAGACGTCGCTACTAGCACATGTTTGCTGACGAATCTGAGTCCAGAGAGGATGCCGAGGTCGGAATTATCGATCAACCCGCGACTCAAGCACGGAGCGCACTGCGTACCTCAGTACGCGAAAGAGCTGCGCAGGACAAACACGTGGGACGCATTCCTCGCGGACGAGCTAAGTAAGGCTAAGAACTCTTGTTTGAAGGGCAATTCAGTAAGACCGTCTCAGACGAGACTTGATGAGTCCGGACGCACTTTACGAGTTTTAGTCTTCGATTCCAGGTGCAGATGGATCCGATATTGGCATCACTTCAAGACTTGTTACAGTGATCCAGGACAAGGCTAGAAGCTCAGGATCCGTCTTCGGCACCACATCATGTAGCGCATTTGGTAGTACCTGGAATCGTGATCGATGAGGAAAGTGTTGAGAATGTAGAGGGTGGTAAGTTTGCTGGAGGACCGTGGGCGTCGCTGGCGCCGAAAATCAACAATCGACAACAACGCGCTTGTGGCTCAACAAGTACTCAAGGTTCAAATTAATGCCCTTCCAACAGGTACTGTCGAAGCTGTCAAAGCCTCTCAGCATCATATGGCATGGAGAGGACTCACCTGAGTGACCCGCATAAGCTGGTGGCCCACCTCCAAAACTTCTCACTTTGCATCAACTTTGCACGGTATTGTACACATTGATTGGTATTCTTCTACCTTCTATAGATCCCCTCTGCACTTCTAGGAAGTCCAAACCTAGACCGAAAACTACATAGCCATTCCCAGAAGTCCGTCCGTCATGCGTAATAGCGGTGCTCCGGGCCACTGCTCTTGAGGATCCCTTCCTCGATCGCCTTGATCTCTGCAGACACCAAGCCACAGTGAGCACCACACCCCGGTCTGCAAGATAGAACAACTCACGCAGAGCAACATGCTTCGAGTGGAAGCGGCACCACATCAGGTTGCCCATCATGAACCAGAAGTTAGGCACACCAGTATCGCGCCACGCCGTGCGCAACTCGCCCTCTTCGTCGAGCCCCCACACGGGCTTGATCTGCGCCGTTGTCTCCTTGCCCAGGATCCTTTCCAGCGTAATCTTCGGGCTATCGAACCTACACACAACCCAAATGCCATGTCAGCTCATCTGCGAAGACACAAGAAGGTGCAGATGGAGACGTACCCAGTCGCAAAGAGGACGACGTCCGCGTCCACAGTGCTGCCGTCCTCGAACTCGAACCCAGTCTTCGTGAAGCGCTTGATGCGGCTATCGTTCTTCAATTTGATCTTCCCGTCGATCACCAGCTGCGACGCCCCGACGTCAAGGTAGTACCCGCCGCCCCGCCGCCGGCCCATGGCAGTGTATCCTGCGCCGCCTGGCCCTAGGTGCGTCCGGAAACCAACCTTGTGCAGGCCTTCGAGAAGCTCCCTGTCGGGCGTGTCAGGAAAGCGGAGAACGACACATAAACAAGGAAGCGTACTTGTCAGCCTCTGCGGTCTCTGCGACGCGCCGCTTGTCCAGCTCCTCCGTGAGGAGCGTTGGCATCGACGCGTCGATACGGTCGGCGATCTCAGTGGGCACGGTACCCTCCCACCAGAGGTCTGCATTAGGAGCCTATGAGCAATGCGACGAAAAAAAAAGGTATCATATACATACGCCCGAGCATGCGCGGCATACCCTCCTTCGTGGTCATGATGTAGGTGCTGTCGCGCTGATAGATCGTCACATCTAGAACCCGAGTTGAGCGCCATGTGCCTCTCTACGAACAATGAAGTACGTACCGACTCCGTGCTCGACGTAGTCTGACGCAATGTCGTGTGCTGCAGTAACACACGTCTTCAGCGATCCAAATTCTGGCGGCAACACACGCACTCACCCGACGTCGCAGATCCAACGATGAAGACCTTTTTGCCAATATGATCCTTGCCACTGTTGTGGAAGATCGAGTGCAGAGCCTGGCCCTCGTATTCCTCCTTTCCAGGGAT